GAGTGGCTTAAGTTGCTTTGTCAGGAACGCAGAGATTTCCGTCGCTCCATGAAAGCACAACGCCGCAGTCTGCGGACTATTTTCTCCCCTGGACCCTGACCAACTTTTTGCGGGACCTTACATGCCCTGAATTCACCCCGACACGTCGCGGGAGAAGTCTTTACCCCTTTGGGAGACTTGAGCAACTTCTGTTCAAAAATACAGATGCCTCACATGGTTCAAACTTGTTGTTGACTCACCGCTTCATAGTACTTGACCTTTACAGCCAAATATTTCACCGGCAATCGAATGCCCATAGAGTAGCATATTAACAATTAATGTCTCAGTTATTATTATGATATCCCTGCGGTCCTCAGTGAGAATCTGATCGCATGCTGTGCCCACTTTAGCTTTGTAAGAGCCGTCGCTCACAGCACAAAGGGTACTGGCAAGAAGGGCCTGAACCAGGCGGTCCGCACTACCTTCAATGGTAATGACCTCTGGAACCCAGCCGTGAGTGTTGGATATATTAGGATTTTCAAGGTACATATTTGGAGAAACGAGAAAAAGAGGATACATGTGAACAATAGAGAAATGATGTCGACTGATACGACTAAAAATGAAGAGTGATACAACTAAAAATATCGCGCGTGGCAAGTCAGAAAAGATAATTTATTTCTATGGAAATCATCTTGTTGATGATGTAAGAAAGCAAGATTCAAGCAAGAACCAAAGTTGGATACTAATCAAAGTACCGACTACAGAAGGTGAACGGATAAACAGATTGAACTTGCAGCATATCAGGCTGACGTAGAGAGAATTCTGAGAATTTCCACTGAGCTGGAGATGAAAGAGTCAAAGTCAAAAGTTGACAGACTGTTTTCACTTTTTATAATATATTGCAAGCAACGAGTGAATTGGTTGATAAAGTAGGATCTCTGATAGATCTATATACTTCTATATACTGTAAATTCATATACTTAGAAGGCAACAATACCTGGACAGCTAAATTGCAGTCAATTGAACAGGTAGATTGCAGGCGGCAGTGAATCGCTTACTTCTAACATATTATTTAAAAAAAGTCACTGAATTGAATTAGGAGTCGATATATTCCTACAACTTGAAAGAATAGGAACTTGTTCATGATGAGTGGACAATTTCAGAATACTGGACATGGTTCCAATGGAAGAAATGCTGGACAAGGAAGATCACAGCAAGGCCAAGGTAATGGTCAATACAATGGAAATTAGAGTGGCAATGGTAGCCAGAAAGAGAAGAAGTTTCATCATCTGACTAGAGGAAACATTCCCGAATTTAGCTTTGATGAAGTGAAGAAGATATTGGTGATTAAAATGCCAACGATGAAGATGGATCATATTGATGACATGATTCAGAGTGTACAAACCTTGAGTCTGTCGATATTGAAAGTGTGAAACCAACATTGATATTGGTGACTAATTACAGCGATCCTGATAAGGAGATCAAGAATGAAGAAAGAAGAACTAACTATATGGCTGATCAAAAGGATTGGAAGGCCAGGAAGAACGCGTTTGATAACAATAAACGCAATGTCTATGGAATGATTATGAAGATGTGCACCAATCATGTGGTGGACAAGCTTGAGAGAGAAGCTGACTTTGAAAACAAACTGTTCAATGATCCTGTGGAGCTATTGATGCGGATCAAGAAACTTATGACAACTACTGTCGATACAGAATGGGAATATTTTGGTCTGTGGGAGCAATCTAATTAATTGCCATCAAAAGGAGAAGGAAAACATTGCAAGTTTTTGTAAACGATTTGAAGAAAGGGCGAAGGCATTGCAAGCTTTGCTTGGTGATGATTTTTTGGACAAATTTACTGAGAAGAGTCAGGAATATGATTTATTGGGAAGCGATGCTGAACGATCCCAACACAAGAAGGAATCATGGGAAAGATTCATGGCCAACGGATTTCTGTATAATTTCAATAGAGCCAAGTATCAATCAAGAATTGATGGAATGACAGCGCAGTACACATTGAAACATCTGGATCTCAAACAATGTTGTACATTTCCAACTACTTTGGAAAATGCTGCTGATGTTTTGAATCAATCTAACGTAGACAGAAGAAAGCGGTCGAACCAATGGACTCAATAGTGACTCCATGAACGACGGTGGGGCGACCGTCATCTCAGTATTGCACCAGCAACCTAAGTCCGATCTACACATATCGAACTTGTGTGCAAGTATACTGACAGAAAGATAGAGTTATTTCTTTCTTTATATTCAGTTTTACTGTTATTACATTTAATCGCAAGAGTATCAGTTGTCTTAGGCATCTTTTACGGTGGATTGTTTGAGCTTAGCCGACAATTTCACAAGTTTTCCAGTTCTCCAGCCTTTCCGACAACAACAACAGCAACAAAAATGCCCAGTCAATCTTTCCTCTCCAAGAAATTTGCCGTAGGTGAATTTTTGAACCTCCGCGATTCGATTACGAATCTCCCCTATGAAGGGAAACTCAACTATCATCTCGCTCTTGACAACAAGTGTCCAACTCTCAAGAACCTCCAAAGTTCTTATGGATTTCCCGTCGAGCGGCTCTCCAAAGGCAAGCCCCTCTACCGAGTAACATGCCCTGAGGATTTCCGGCCAGCAAGAGAGCGATATGCAGAGTTAGATGCGGAATTCAAGAGATGGAATGACCCAAGTTTGACTTACCATCAGCGTCTGATGCTTGGTGAAACAAAACCACCAGGGTTCGCGCTAGTTGTTCGGAAAGGGGCGGACGGAGAGCCTTGTCACCTATGCTTCATCTCTGCTCCGGTAATGACAAAACCGAATACGAGCGCAGACAGTGGTTTCGGTGCACCATTGTTGGCTGATATCTTTGAAGCCACGGTGACGAACCACTTGAAGTGTCCTCGGCCAGTTGATGAACCGAATCACTTGATGTTGGGTTCCCTGTGTGGTACCACCTTAGGTGTATCCCTGGACGAAGGACGTCGAGCTTTTGCAGAAGCGTTGTTTCCTGTGATCATGTCTGATGGTTTGGCCTTGGGTCAGAAACCGCTGAATGGCGATTCGTGGAAAATTTTAATTTTTCCATTTATGTCAGAATGCCCAGTTGGTTTTGTTTGGCCAGCAACAATTAGCTATGCCGAATTCTGTGATTCTCTGGAGAATCGCAATAGTGAGGTTTTTGGGGGATTGTTGCATCTTCTCAGCACCCAAAAGGCGGCAATTCAAAATTGGTTTGACGCCCTCAATGCTAATTCTCAGGTGTTTGGTGTGCCTGTGGTATCAGCTCTTCCTCTGTGGGATAATTTTCCAACTATAGATAACCCTAATGGACAATCGCTGATTGGTGATTGTAAGCAGTTGGCACCGTTTCAGGTCCAACAAGATCGTTTCTTGCGCAATCATTTCTCTCAAATTGTGAGACGTGGACCTATCGCTGCCCAATCCAAGGCGTTCCAGATGGCGCGGATGCAGTATCATATGTTCCTTAAACGCGGAACATTGGAATATCCATTGGATCAAGGTGGTGGTGGCACCCTATCTGCTGAATGCCAACCTTTTCTGAGTCAAATGATGCGACCCATGGATGGATGGAACGATGATGGCCCGAATTGGTGTGCCAACTTTACACTGGACCCAGTGGAGGTCCCGTCTCCCTTCCATCTTTATCCAGTCAAAGATATTCCCAAAACAGCAAAAGCACCTCCAGGTTATAAACCACAACGTCTGGTGCGACCTGTGGAAGAAGAACCAGGGGATCTTTTGATGATTTTCTAGCAGCTTCTCAACAACTACATTCAAGTGAGCAATTGGACGATCCAGTTGATTCCTCTTCCGATACGGAGGAGGTCGCATATGTTGCTACACTAGGACCACCACCCAATGATGGTGGTCCACGAAGGGTGACGAATCCTACTGCAGGTGGGCCGTATGCACAGATGGCAGCGACCCCGAGACCACCAACTTGTGATCCGACAACAGGACGCCAAACGGGGGTATCATGGTCAATGTCGCCATCTTTTCTTGCACCTGTGACTTAACCTAGATCAAAGGGATTTGATATCAGTTGATGATGAAATTGTGAGCATTAGAATAGTGGTTTTAGGTGCGCTATCTAGTCTTGGTTTGGCCAAGCTTTGGCCCGAAATATTCAGTAACGGCGCTGAAATATTCAGTAACGGTTAAAGTACTTAGGAGGGTCAATAATAGTTAGGCTTGGAATATTGAGTAACCGATAGGAGTATAACAAAAGTGTCTGTTGAAAAGAGCGTAAGATGTAACGTCTGCTGGAAGTACGTTGGAGGTCTGGCCGGATGACCAACGGTCTGTAGAGAGTACGTCAACCTGTGCCAGCTGTCTCTCCTCCTGAAGATGAAGACGCCGGTTATAATGTTCATGCAGGTGATACATTTGCACCTACTGTAACACCATTAAAGAGGCAGCATCTACCATTTCAACAGTCTGGACGAACGACTACACCGCGTCCTCATAGAGACGAGGCGGACTGGACTTCCCCATTTGCGTCCCACAAGCGTCCGAGGATGGATGTTAGGGACCATGAAGGGCCATTTGAACCAACTCCGTCTCCTTTTCGGGGGAGCCCAAGTCCTCCTGTTCCTACAATGCATGATCCATTTGCACGGGCACCATCTCCGTATCACACAGCGCCAGTCCAGCAGTCGCCGTTCCATCCTATGCCAGTGCAACAACATCCTCACGTGACTCCGGGCGTGTATCACACGCCGTCGCCATACCAGCCAACGCCACCGTCGCAGTATCCACATTCACCGTACCCACACCCAACATTCGTGCCTGACGGAATGGGTGGATACTATCAGACAATGGTAAATCCCGCTGCTATGATCCCGGGACATCCTCATGGTGGCCTTGTTTACTCGCCTGTTGTTGCAAAGCCGGGTGCTCTCAAGATTTGACTAGAGTCAACAAAGCACGCGGCTATTTCCACACCGGAACAAAGGACAATATGTCCACCTGTGTTCTTATCATGTTGTTTTTGGTTGCTCCAAGACATTGGTGATGTGGGTGCTGGTGTTGTTCATTGCAGAAAAGATGGCGAACCAGCAAGACAAGTGTCTTCTGAAGCTGTCTTTCGAATCCTCATGCCATCGGAACTTGGACAACAGGTTATGTCAGGTGTGGATCATAAGAATGACGGGAATGCAGCTGCAGTTGCAATGGTCCGGGTGATAAGATATCGTGCCAAACTGTCACTTGGGCCGTTTGGATTGTTACGATTACCCTCCGAGCAGCTGTTGACTACTGTCATGGATAGTGTCTTTGTCCGGAATGGTTTGGACATGAACACATGGAGTGTGGATCCGGAAAGACCGCCCCCTATTGACACCAAGAAACAATCCTCGGTATTGTCCTTCCTTCCTTGTTTGGACACTGGTATGTCTTCTACCATGGTTCTACGCGGGGGTATAACTCTTGACCAAGCAAGGCAACTGGGAATGATCATCTACTATTTCTTTGCCATGCTGAGTGCTAAGAAGCCAACCTATGATGGTGCAGATTATAATGATAGGGATTTTCAGCGTTCCATCTTCGGTAATACTCTGTTTTTAATGTGCAATACTTTGATGCAGAATGGGGATTTGATGCGATTGTGGATGAGGTATCCGGAAATGTGTACCACGGAATACATTCGTGACCTAACGGAGCTTTTGTACCACCTGAAGTCGTTTGTGGATTACCGGTCTGGGGCTGATATGGGTCATTATGGCATACATGAGGCTCGTCTTGCAAGTCATCCTAACTTTCCTTTCATGGTCGTCTCCTCTTCGATGGAGAGTCAGCAAAGTACAACTCGAACTGCCCATCTAAAATCGGCTATTCAAAAATATCGGGATGCAATGTATGACAAGTGGGATAAAACCTACTACAGCTTACAGGATCCAATCTGGTTGTCCCCTTGTTCTGTTTTTCTACAGGCATCGAATCAAGCTTCTGGAGGTTCCGATCGGTCATCTCGGCACAAGCTATTGCACGATGATTGCAATGGTCCTCCTAAGCCTGGAAAAGACAAGGAGAAGGATAAGGTAGTATTTGTTAATGGTACTCCACCTTTTGTGTGGAATGAAGCAAGGACTCCGATGAGGGGACGAGATCCAGTTGTTGCCTTTCAAAGTGCCAAGGTGCCTAAGGGTGGATATCCTCACCTTGAAAAACCAAATAACAACATGAATGGTAAGAAGATGATATACCCAATCTGTCTGAATTCTGCTTTCGAGAGCCATCGAAAATGTCATGATAGCGCAGCATGTAAAGTATTTGCCAAACATGGCAAGCCGGGTATTGGAAGAACTCGAGTACACATTGATCTTGAAGATGTTAAATGGTCCAACGCCAACTACCCTGAAGCAAACTGGAAAGACGTTGTTGCTTTTGTCAAGAAATACAATGACTATCTATTACCAACAGAAGCATTCAAAAGATTGACGCCCAGCACACAATGGTGATGGGAGCCGTTGCCGCCTGAGGGGGGCCCAGCTAAAGTCACACGAATCTCCCATGGTAAACTCGACTTCTGTCACTTTACAGGTGCCGCCAAGACGTCCTTTTCGTCGCACTCCGGGACCAAAGGTCAAAAATCGGTAATCAGATCCTAGAGACCTTGCGACTCAAGCAAAAAGACAAACCAATCAACAATTCGAACTCTCGAGACACTCCAATGATCCACTCCAGAATCCTTCAAAAAGAAGCAGACTCCCTGGAATTTGACAATCAATTCAATTATCGATCACTCATTGGGAAAATTGCCTACCTGGAGAAAGGGACAAGACCGGAACTTGCATATGCATGTCACCAGTGCAGCAGATTTTCGTCAGCACCAAGGAAAGCGCATGGTGAAGCAATCAAACAAATTGGACATTACCTTTTAGGCATGGCAGATAAGGGAATGTTCATCAAACCGGACTTGAGAAAATCATTTGAGGTGTATGTTGATGTAGATTTTTGTGGGAACTGGAACGAACGCTATGGACATGATCCAGACACGGCACGCTTGCGTCATGGCTACGTCATCACATACGCCGGTGTTCCGATAATTCACATAAGTCAATTACAAATCAAAATCGCTTTGAGCTCTACCGAAAGCAAATACACTGGTCTCAGTTATGCATTGCGTGAAGCGATTCCCCTCATGAACCTACTCAAGGAAATGAAAAGGCATGGAATCCCTGTCCTAGGTCATCGCCCAAAAGTCCATTGCAGAGTCTTTGAAGACAATACTGGAGCATTGGAAATGGCAAAAGTCCACAAGTGGAGACCCAGGACAAAACACCTCTGCACAAAACTGCACCACTTTAGGTCATAT